GACTTAGTGGCCTAATAGTTTTGAATTGAGCGCAAGTTCCGCAGGACTTGAATTTACTCATTTGTATACATTGTTTGTGTAAACAAATCAAATGTTTTAAACATTAATGAAACAGCTGTTTATTATTAATTTGACCTTTTACATATATTTTGCAAGTCTGCTCAAAATCTGTTATGAACATTTTACATAATTTCAGTAGATTGATTATTCTATTTCTAGTTTAGATGAACCAATTTCGAATTAAATATTTAAGCTTTTTCATACTAGGAATCAACTTCTTCTTTTATTTTTGTGTGCAATTAAGTTGATTTAAAAGGAATAAATTGTATCCTAAAACAGTGAATTCTTCCTAATAAATTCACACAATCAGCTGATTTTCATTATTGAAAAAAAATTTTCACTCCACATGACTGAATTTAAGTTAATAGAACAAGTTGTAAAACTCTTATTTTTTTCGCATTATTGCTTATTTTTAACTTTTAAAAATATCACAATATTTTTTTATGATCGTCAAACAAAAAAAAGAATGGTTGCCCACAGATACTGTTTCTTTTTTGAATTTGACAGAAAAAAAGGTATCATTTTTGTTGGGGATGTTAGACCCCCAAAACTCGCTTGATAAATGCCTTATTTTGGATTTCACGTTCGCGAGCATGGGCTGATCAGTTGACCTTGAGATTTCGTTTTCCACCGGGACAATCCATGGCTGTGATTGGCTGCTGTGTATTTTAGTGTGCTATTTTCGTAACTGTTCCAAGGACGTTTCTATGATGTATAAATAAACGAGATTTGTGTGCTTGATGGTATTGTGATTGCTGGGTGTTTTTTTAGAATATACTTTCTACGCTTACCAAGACTTCTGTTTTACAGCTTGGGGTTCACTGCAGCCTATCTGGACGCTGGTAATTGTCTCGTTCGCGTTTATCGACTAAGGTGAACTCGTAATAGCTTCAAGCGTACCTAGTGACAAACATATCAATTTTATAATGTGTAATACTATTTCATACAATCAGTGGTAACTTCAGCATTGAATTTAACTGTTATGATATATGTATAGAATGGATCGCGTATCTCTAATATAGATCAAGCATTTTTAATGGTAGTCAGTATTGGATCTGGCACAAATTTGTTCGAATATTCAAATTTTTACATTCAACATCGAAACACAGTGAGATAGGGAATAATGATTAAGAAGCAAAGTATTGAAATCAAAAGACGATAAATATCATGATGAAACACTAAAAGTTATAACTATAATATGAAAAGAATAAATTCAGTTAACGACTAAAAAAAATATGTACTACGCGGTAAGTTGCATCATCACTCTAGGAGAGATAAACATAATGATGTTTTTTTTAAGAAGAGACTAATTGAAAAAAAAATAGAGTATTCTAACCAGAGACTTGTTGTGTTAGTATGATAGAAATAACTGAAAAATTTTTTATGGGGATAACTAAGATCCAACCCATTCTATTCTATGACATGATCTGGTTTGGTATGTTATCTATGTAAACTAGTGAGACTTTGAGATAGCTGCTGGCTTGGTCAGTTCAAATATAGTGCAAAAGCTTAGCTACAGATTTTTCGTCCAATTCAAGGTTGAGAAATAGATGATGGACCAATGGAAGTTTAGCTTACATTAGCTTATGGCTAATTTTGCCGATCGGAACGCACCATTGGTAAAGACTAAGAGCACTAAATTATATATGGAATAGCAGACATGAGATTTGAAAATTATGATCGAAATTCAAATTGGAGAACCTGGCCATTGAAATCGACCTATCGCTTAGACATAAATTGTAAATATAATGTCTCGTCACAAATGCCGACCGAACTTTAACGATTATGCAGCCACTTGTCTAATTGAATACACATCGCGCGTAGTAGATCAAGATGTTAAGTAGTAGTTGAAGGCAGCTGGCCAGAAACGTGGCTTAAGCGAGTTAGAATCCTAAAAGGAACATCGATTCGTTAAAAACTTACTAACTAGTGACAAGTTGTAAAGAACATTGGTACAAGATTTCATACCACCTATTCGCAGCCGTCAAGTTATGCTTGCTTTAACCTCCGGATACTCTGATTTGTCAGTAACACTCGTAGCTTTCAAATAAAATAGTTATTAATTTACAAAATCATAACTAAGCAACAAAATCTCACATTGTAAATAGGAATGAACACAATAATAATTGTATTCACTAGTAAACGATTAGATCACAATCGATCGTTGTTAGGAGGAATGGTTTTTTTATTCATTGATTCATTTAAGATGCAGGAAATACATCGATGCACATAATAAGTGATTACTACTGTTAGGCTCTCTACCATAATAAACTTTTTAGTTGAAATATTTCATACAATATAGTTTTATTATAATTTTACAAAACAATTAAACAGGAAATAAAACAAAGAATTGAATTATTATATTTTTGTGAAGCATCATGTGAATGTAAGTTCAATCGACACGAATTTAACTGAATAAAGATGAGAAAACAGATCCATGAATTGCATGAGTGTATCAATGCAAGTGTACAGGAATAAGGGTTTACCGACTCCACTAGCAACACTCAGTATCGGCTTTAAATACCGGATACTTGCTCTCTGACGTAAACGTTAAGTATAAAAACTTGTTAATGTGAGCATTTTTTTAGAAAAAGAGCTTATTGTAGTGTACAACTCGACTAGTTGGTTGGAGTAAATCGCTGACAAGATGCATATAAATTCTCCGCTCAATTAGCTTCTATCTGCAATCGTCCGATTAACGATATCGATCCAACCAACCAATAACTTTAAATCAGAGGTCGTTTCTATCTTACCGCGTTGACTATGTTGCAATACTCTGCCCCATCCTTCTGTGTACCAGGACAAATAGCGTGATAAATGTATAGATGTGAATAAACGGTTATTTACATAATTTTAAGTTATTAATAAATCAGTTTTAATAGCTCCTGTATCAGAGGCGAAGAACAACTTTTATGATGCAAGGTAAGATGAGAAAGAATCAATATGGAACAAATTTGGGTTCAATCTTCAAAATATTTAAATTAAATAAGTGAACATTTACTGTGATTCTATAAGGCTAATAAGATTACGGTCACTAGGGAAAAGATAACACGGAATGCATTGTGAAATCCACGAATGATAATACTACCAGGGTTTAAAATTATGTTTCTATAATTACACTTTAGCAACAGTGGACTCTAAAACTAATCATTTTTACATACCGTCAGATGATTTAAGTTTTGCGATTCTATTGCACTGAAATTGTATTATATTTTTATCATCCATGAATGCTCTGATGTGAAAAACAGCCTAATAAAGACAAAAACTGTATACATCTGCCAAGGAACAAATTCCCATAAATACAGTAAGAGAATCAATCACATTTTTTGTACCAAATGTGATTGGGTTGCTTCAGGATATGTGTAACGCTTGTTCTACACAATATCAACGATTATTTGCCAGAAGTGAATTCATTATGCAAATGTATAACACCTAATCCAAAGTTTCAACATCCAATCGACAAGCTGATTTAAACACGGAATAACGATGCTGTTAGGTATATTAGCCAGTAAGTAAGCATACGATAACTTCATTGTTGCTATTACATTCTCGTCTATTTCCAATGCGAATCTCAAGGTTCAAAATAATTTCCTCTTACTAAAATTACTCAAGATTGTTTGGAAAACTATACTCCACTTAGTTTGGACACAATTGTTTAAGTCAACGGATGTTTCCTTATTTTAAATGATAAATATCAGTAGTTTCAGTATGTTTTTCAGCTGATGTCAGTCTGTGATGAATACTACTTACAGGTCTAAGATAATGTGTGCGAAATATATATGCAACGGTAAACTTAATTTTTTCAGAGTTATGGAGATTAGTGTTTGTCGCACATTGAAACCATCAATCAATCACTGTTACACCACCATTAGAAACCAAGAAGCACTGGACGGCCATTTAAACCAGATATGGGACTCATCAGCAGTGAGCATTCACGACTCCTGCACCTCACAGGATTCGAACCCAGGACCTACGGTCTTGCGTGCTAACGCCTAACCTCTGGATCAGTGGAGTTTAATCCTGTCGGGTGTGGGTAGTAACTAACAAAGACAAATGGGTGAAGTCGCACAAAATCTGTAGATTGATCAGAGCTAGAAATTAACACCGTTGGAGGCTGATTTCAGTTCAAAACCACCATACTTAATTACATCAATATTGTTAAAAGGTTTGGTGATGCACACATTATATTCAGTGAAATTTAACTATACTGAAATGTTATCACAACTAGAATATGATTCAGTGTACAGTTACAAGTTAACATCTTGATAGCAGTAAAATGCTATTAATGTTGAAAATGGTTTGTAACAATAAATCTGTAACTGTGCTTTGTATAAAAACCAACATTTACGATATGAAGATAATCATTATTTTTCTATATTAAATAAAATTACAATATAAAGCTTTTTTTCGTTCATTTATTGAGTGCTGCATACAAACAGCATGATTTTCATTGGAGATTTCAGTTAAATCATCTGTAGTGAATCTCAACTTAACGGATTAAAAAGTCAATAAAATGAAAATTTGAGCTTGACATTCTCAGTGAAAATTGTGCAGCATTCAACATACATACACCGAAAAATATCTGATAACACACAAAATGCGTACATTACAACTATGCGGACACACCCTATTTCAATTTACGTTTATTTTTGTTTTTATTAGATCACAAGATATGCTAAACATATGCCTTAAGTTTGCATTAAACAGAGTTCACATGTTTATACTGCTATTCTTTAATGTTTTTACTGATTATTTCCATTACACAAAACAATATACCATACACGTTAATGGTCAACTGTATGAGCAACAAAAACAATTATATCGTCAATTTATATTTAATTGCGGAAATTGTATAAAAATACCAAAATACCAGAAAATGCATTCAGGTAAAGGAGAAACAGAAACAGTACAGAGAAAACATGTAACAATATTTAATACAATCAGTTATTAGCAGGACATAGGGCCATCACATTAAAATCTACACTTTCTGGTAAACAAGTGATGAACTTTTTGACTATACTGCATGCATCTCTTAGAAAACCAGCCGATGTAATTGATCCGTGCCGAATGGGTGCATTTTTTCGACCATCTAAAATAAAACATAAAAATAACCCTTACATTTTGTAGCGGATCGAGTAAAGAAAGTACATACTATTCGATTTAGAAGTGTGAGAAACGAAAAGTGATTATACTGTTTGATAACTACATTCAAATTTATGGCTGGATTCTAATCATCTAAATTTCATCAGTGAATGGGATCAATGAATGACTAACTACTACGTAAGGTACAGTAACTGCTTACAAATTAACTCGTCATCAGAGAAGGAATTTGGAGGAGATATTGACAGGAATTCATTGAAATGGTTGTAGTGTACCTTGGGGCCAGACCACACACCAACTAAAGGATGACTACAACTAGATAAATTATCTTCATTTTAATCCTCATTCTAGCAAATTATGCTCAAATATTTGTGAACATTTGTTTTTATTTTACACCGCATCACTTTTATTCCCGGTTTGTGTAACATTATTTTCAAACTGATAAAACAACTCGCTAATGGAAAAATTCCAAACTATATAAATCATCTCAAATAACTGATTGGTCGAAATTTAAACGCTAACACCGAATATGAATTCTGAATTAGCTTTTCTGCAACCATGTATTCAAACTGGCCTCCTTTGAAGTTCGCATACTAATACAGACAGGGTTTGCTATTTCTTTAAAAAGTCTACACATTTATGTCTGTATAATATAAGCTTTCACACTTCCAAGCGATTGAATATGAAAGTAAACTGATTTATATCAACACTCAACTACATGAATATCGACGTTGACGCTAAACTTCAATAATGTTATATTTGTGTTTTAGGATTTTTATAATTTGATAAACGACATTTTCGATTTCAAAATCAATAAGTAGAAGGCTGGTCAATCGATGATATTTACGCCGAGGTTGTCAAGTGATGATTGTTCATAAGATGGAATTACTGACCTAAGCTCCCAAATGATTAGGAATTTGAAACAAGACTACTTGTTACAAGAGCAGATTATTTATGTAATAAAATAACATGCTTATGTAGGAGATACCACATCCTCATTAACTAGACGGTGGATAGATTGAACGCATAGACCATTTAGGCGGATGCAAATGAACCATTACACTAGAACCTGCTCAAAGGGGTGTTAGCAGGATATAGACTGGATTAAGACATGTTTGATTTTGGAGACTAGGTGAGCGTTGTATAGTTTTTGAAGAACACTGAACAATAAGATAGTTGGGTAGCATAAGCTAGATAATTAACACAGATATATACATCACTGAGCCACAGTTCTAGACTGGGTACGACAATTAAACAAATTGAAAATATTAAAATTTAGTGATCTATATAGGGAGTATTATTTCAAAAATACCGTGGTCAGTGCAAATACTATTTCGTATAATATTTAATAGGGTGAAACCTAAGTTCATACGTTGCATTTTTTTTTTCAAATGTTTTGCCAACTGCATTTATTATGATTATGAATTTCTTAGATATACGATAGGCATAACTTACCCAGTTCATAGATAAATCCATTATGCTCAACTAAGCATATAAAATGCAAATTAGTTTTCGACTCAGCGTCTGGTGCCTAAATAAAGATAAGGAGAATATAGAGTTGAAATAAATGAACGAACTTCTGTTTGACCTTCTAATGCTGACTTTTCATGTAATACGGAAAGCTCTTTCTACAACAAAAAATAAATCAAAATGGATCGATTTACTTTATTCTCCACGATAACTCCACGTTCAGCAGGTGTCTTATCTTCGAATCCATCTAAGACCTTACTCAAAAACGAATCATCTGAAATATAATAAAAGATAAAATTTCTACTCAATAAGATCACCACGATCAATAAGAAATAAAAAGTTTGTTATTTATCCAGCAACTGACGCTAAATTTTAACTGTTATTCAAAAATGCAATTCGTAAAACAACATCGAAAACTGAAATTTAGGATGGCAAATAGTAAAACAAGTAAGAAGTATACAATACAAATTTTAGAGAAAATATTGAGAAACTTGTCTTATAACATGCTTTGTCTTATGAGTTAGTTATTTCGCAATAAAGGATTTACATGGAATGAACAATATAGCATTTATTACTACTATTTCATCAAAACTATATTGATGAAAATATGGTTGATATCGAGTTTAGACTTAATGGTTGAGCGGAGCAACCTGTATTTTGGCTACTTTGAGAATATGATTTAGTGAGCATAACACACCCATGTATCGATTCTTGAAAAAAAATATCATTTTAATAAATTCTGCATTTTTATGAAGTTCGGTATGTGATACTTCTAGAGGTTTGGCTATTTTGTATTTGTTGATTCTATTCTTACATATTTTCTTTTCTAAATTTTTTGAGCACTTACAGGTTTAGTGTAAAAATGTAAGGGGAGGAAGCTAAGAAGGAATGCATCACTGTTAATACACTGGATAAGATTCATGAAAGGAAGTACAAGATGGTTGCAATTAACATCACCGAACAAGAGCAGAGAAAGCTAAGGCACAAACTGAATAAACAGAAACAAACAAGCAAATGAACAGGAACATCAGAGCTGAAAAACATAAATATATCGAAGATCTAGCAACCACAACAGAAAAAGCTGCAAGAGATGTTAGCCAGACAGTATAATAAGCCAAAATGATCAGTGAAAAACGAGCAAGGCAAATCAATCACCAACATCGAAGAACAGTGAAACAGGTGGGTAGAGAATTTGGAAGAACTCTTCAACAGGCCAGCCACACCGAATCTATAGCACCTCACCATTTATTCATTCTACTGGCTTTGTTGATTAGTCGTTCAAAGTACTCGATATTTGTGTCGACCATTTTTTTATAGTTGTAATAATTCGATAACAGTATCGACTATTGTATATATGAATGTATGTGTGTGCTTGATCATTTATTACATGTCTAGCCTTTTATTGCCTGACTACAAATATTTAGTCATGATTCACTGCATACAGTTGGCTCAGTCGCCTTCACTAATTCGTCTCACTTTGCTAGTTCGCCTTTCATTATCATATCCGTCTGCTTAAATAAATGCATGAAATAAATCCATCCGCAAAACCAAATCTATATTTGGCTTGTAAAGAAAGACACTTCATCAAGATACCAAAGAAAGGCGATCTCAGCAAGTGTGAGACCTAAGGGGGAACCACTCTACTCTTGATACCAGGATAAGTCTTCAACAGAGTGTATTTGAACCAAATATAAGATTCCGTAGACACCCAACTTTGAGATCAGCAATCTGGATTCCGTAAAGATCGATCATGTGTCAGCCAAATCATTGTGCAACAATCAAATTGAATAGAATCCACCACTATACATCAACTTCCTTGGTTACGAGAGAGCATTCGAACGCACTATGGCGTGTCTGAGAAGATAGCCAACATCATACGGAACTTGTATGATGGAATAAACTGCAAAGTCCTGCATAGAGGACAACTCACAGACTCGTACTAATTGAAAACCGGTGTTAGGCAAGGTTGCTCACTCTCCCCAATTGTCTTTCTCCGGCTAGTCGACTGAATTATGAAGACGTCAACAAATGAGGGGAAGCACGGAATACAGTAGAGAGCTTAGATGCAACTGAATGATCTGGACTTCACAGATGATCTCTAGACCCTACACAACAACAAATTCAGGAGAAGACAGCCAGTGTAGCAGCAGCCTCTGTTGCAGTAAGTCTCAGCATACACAAGAGATCGATCATGTATCAACCAAATGATTGTGGAATAATCAACTGAATCGATTTCACTACTATATATTTTGGCATTATAGCTGATGTCAGTTCGTGATGACAACTCCAATGGCAGCTCCTGACCTTTAATTCTAAGTCTAAATATTAATTCTAATTTCTCAAACTAATCCTATCAAGCGGATGAATTTTCTCAGCGTCGCTCAAAAGCCATCCATAAACCATAGTCTCACCGTAATATGTATACTTTTAACGTTTTCATCATAATAAACTTGATAACTAGGATACTACAAGAAGATATGATATCACCAAATCTAATCAGAATTAAATGACTCTCTAATTAACAATTTACTGATCTATTTCATAGTCTTATGTATATCTATTTTCAGAAATTAATTTTACTTACAAAGTTACAAGATTTTCATAGAACTTAAATATAAAAGAAGTTGAATTCCGTTTCAAACTATATCTATAAGTTTAATTTGCCATTACCGCTAGCACTACCATTACTTCAACTCTTTTCGTACGTCATACTGATACAAAATGTTATAAATTGGCCTCGTGCAAATTTATTCCAAGTTCTAAGTTGTTTGTAACGGACGAGAATGTATGAAATGTACTATAGATATAAAACTTTCAAAATATGAAAGATTACAACTTACCTTTGATGCTTAGATTTTGTTTATTATTTGCTAGAGCATGTAATAAGGCTATCGTTCCACAAGCATTGCCAACCGTTTGTTTGATTAAAATAACTTTAGATGAATTATCTTCGATACCCAGTGAAGCATTTTCGATGGCAGATTCAATAGGATATAAAAACAATAGGCTTAACACGGGTTCCGGTATAAATGCAAGCATATCATTATCTAAACTAAAAACATCTACAAACTGCCACGATCCTTCGACAACTCCAAGTTTCGTCATATACTATAATGTTAGAAATTGAGTACATATTTAAAATAATGTATACTTCATTCAACACCTAAACAATTACATTATTTGAACAGTTATCAACTAATCAGAAAAGACCTTGGGATTAGATTCCAGAGGGATCCACTTCATAATAAAATGCTTATTGCAAATTCTGAAATGAACATAAGACAGGTTTAAAGACAAATATAATCATGATACTCAGAATAAAGGAAATATGACTGGATATCACTAATTAAGCAGTAAAATTATAATCATGTACTCGAGATAATGACAACAGTATATAAAAAATGACATCATAAAAGAGATTTTCAAAATGGTAAAAATAGATATTTGAAATCTAAACAGACACAATCTGAAATAAACCAAAAGGATGAAAATACATTCACTTTAAATTGTTAACTAAAGGCTGAATACTTTACGGAGTTTATGCTTCATTTATGACATATTCTGCGTTATTTTAGCTGTTTACTACTTTTTTCGATGTTAATGTAAAGTGTACCGACTTAAACTACAAAACATATGATAAGTTACCCTAATATTTCTAATAAAATATTTAAGTAGGAAGATGTATGGAAAATAATTTCGCATGTCAAATCCAAAAGTACAGAAAAAAATCAATGCAAATTTTCAAAAGCGCTCAGAAATATACTAAAGAATCAAGAATAATAAGATGATAACAAGTGTTTAATAACTACAGTAATGTTGTAACTGTCCTAGAAGCTACAGCTATCCTTCTGAGTCCGTACCCTCCCGTTTAGTCAGACAGCGAATAACCGACTGTCTATCGGGACCCAGTCTAAGAGAGCTAGTTCCGCCCTACGACTTAATACTATACCTACGCCGGCGAGGCCACGAGAAACGGCATCAGGGCTTCCAGAAACACGAAGCGTAAACCTTGTTGTGTCTCTATCTGCACTAGGTGGGATCAAATTGGTGATTTTACTCGGATCTTGTATGCACGTTTCGGAGACGCAACATACATCGATTGCCTGGGATTCCAGAGTTCTAGCTAATGAAGCCTGTTGCCCTATTTGGCATAGGGTACAAACATTAAGACCTCCTATATGAAATCTAGTACGGGGTTTCAAGAGACCAGGAATGCTTCGTGAGCTCATACCGTTTGCTTCAGTGGCGTGAAGTGATAAACGATCGAAAGAAGGGTTGGTCGAGGAGATAAAAGTTATTAAGAGGTGTAGAAAGAATTTGATTGTGACCAATTTGGTCTCGTGTGCTGTTACGGGTATGAGGGCGGATGTAACTTCCCGCCTGCCCACACCATGGAAGGGTGTTTCTTGATGAACTTGAAAAAAAAGGTATATTAGCGTTGGTCTTAACAACCTGAGAGCATAACCACAGAGTCCAAGGGACAACTGCTTGAGGCCGGTCACGAACGGCCTTTTTATGAAACGTTTTTTGAGTATTAACTCCGCTCTTTTTAAACCCCTTAGTGGGCACTCTTACCGCCGAAGACGGAAATCCGTGAGTTAGGGGAGGTGTGACATTTTTAGGGCCGACCTTTTCTAACCCTTCCTTCATTGTGAGAAGGCAGCATCGCTGCAGATAGTGTTTGTCCGAGGGAAACACCTTACTGCTGTCATACTCCTCTGCAGTCAGCAGTACGACTTCGCCCTCAGACCTTGAGTAGCTGCTTTTAGTCTCATCGTTCTCCAATCGACCAGCCTGGCATGATAGAACCTTCAAGAACATGTTCCAACCAATATAGCTCGGTTGGGTCATCACGATAGGCAAGCCCGACCACCACGTCAAGGTAGCAGCTACGGTCAGGCAAAAATTTTAATACCTGAAATCAATTTAGACGAGCAACAAAAAAGTACATTAACCCTAAACAGGCTCTCTTCTTAAACACTACTGGCCCAGGCAGAGTTCAATGCAAACTATCATCGGAATCCATCAATATGACTGTTTTTCATCAATATCTCAATTATTATTTAAATTCGTCATCGATGTGCTTTTAGAGACGATACTTTCATCATTCGACTTTTCAGGAATTGAACCTGAACCAGGAGATTGACTTGTTGACTTAGAATATGCCGATGACATGGTTCCGTTTGGTGAAGCCTCCGACAAAATTAAGTCTACTTACTTACTTACACCTATTACCCAACCCCCAACAGAGCACAGGCCGCCGACTAGCATACAGTAAAACCGTCTTAATAATTGTATTGAAAATTCTGACTGGTATTGGTTGATAATCGTTTTGGGTTTCAGATGTTCTTTGATTGCTGCCTTTGCTTTGCCGATCCGCACCTTCACATCTGTATCAGATACACCTTGCTTATCAATGAGGCTGCCCAGATATGTAAAGGTGGCAACTTTTTTCAAAGCATCTCCCTCAAGAGTGAGATCGCCTTTCTTTGGTTTTCTGACCAGGTATCCTTCTTTCCAGTCTGTTGGTACTTGTTTTTTATCCCAAATCCTCTTGAAGAGAATGTGGAGTATCTTTGCACTTGCTGCCTCGTCTGCTTTCATTTCCTCTGTTGGAATGTGTCTGGACCGGCTGCTTTGCTGTTCTTGACTTTTCACTTGTTGGGAGGCCAACACTGTTTGGGAGGTCTGTTGGTGCCTATTCTACGTTGGGTTGGTTCAGTGGGGCTGATCAACTCAAGAGTTCCTTAAAGTGCTCTATCCACTTGTTTCGCTTTTTACCGACTTCGGTAACTGCTTTGCCTTTCTTGCTTTTCACTGGCCGTTCTAGTTTACGTTACTTTCCAGCAAGTTGCTTGGTTGTATCATAATTCCTTCTAACATTTTTTCCGCCGTCATTGCTAGATCTTTCACATATTTACGTTTTTTAGCTCTGATGCTCCGCTTCACGTACTTGTTTGCTTCTGTGTATTCAGCTTGTGCCTTGGCTTTCTCTGTTGTTGTTCGGGTGATTTCGATTGAAGCCTTATGGTTCTTCCTTTGTTGAATCTTATCCAGTGTATTAACAGAGAAGCATTTCTTGTTAGTTTACTCTTCGAGTAGATCTTGAAAGGCCTGGAACCTAATGCTGAAGGCTACTTTGAATTCATTTAGTTTGCCAGTATCCCGAAGAAAGGGTGTAGTAAACTTTTCTAATGCTGTATGTTCAATTGTTCAGTGCTTCTTTGGTTTTCACTACATCTTGGCCACCACCAAGTGATGACCTGAGATTATATCAGCTCATCTCTTGGTTCTCAAGTCCTCCATCATCCTCCTGAACTTATTATGATGAAGATAAGGTCGATTTGGTTCCGTATAGTGTGATCTGGTGAAACACATGTCGTTTTGTTTGTGCATTTGTATTGGAACATAGCTCCGCCTATGACCAGTTTGTTTGCGGATCTCTCACAATTTTCGTTCCTTTCGCCGACCCATTTCGTCCCATGATGTCTTCATATTTAGTGTTGCCCATAACAACATTTGCGATTAGGTCTCCAGTCACAATGGTTGAATCCAGGGTTGGGCATTTGTCAACTACTGGGACCGGCAATACCCCCCCAGAGGGGCTCAAGGCGAAGTTAGTGGTAGCACTAATAGTAGTAAAGACCAGGTATAGAAAAAGATTTCGGAAATCAAATTCTAAACCAGGACAAGGAGTAACTATACATGATAAATTACAAAGGATTTTCAATCATGTCACACAAAGCCTCTGGCCATTTTCTACAACAACCAGGTACCCTACATATATTAACGTGGCTCAGTCCAATATTCAACGTTCCATGAACTAGTTCCACGCCCCTAGCTTTCTCGCAGCCTACTCCTACACCAGAAATCACCCACCCAGTTGGGTGGCGCTTTAGCACACGTAGGACATGTCCCAATCACCCTAAAGCGATGACGCTTCACTAATCACTTCACCAACTAATTCGCCGTATTTACCTGATAATACCCCATGCTTAAAAGTGGCATTGCTTACTCGGCAGTCCCAAAATACATAAATGGCGTCTAGAAAGCACTTACGGCCGAATACTACACCTGCAAAGTAGGGTAAAGCAAAACCCGACACGATAAACTCGCTGTTTGTTTGATGGACGGGTATCCTGCCTGCTCTACAACTGACGAGTTGCTAAACCTTTCGGAATAAATTCCAACATTTCAACAGACATTAGTCGATTAGAAGTGATCAAACCTACGAGATAAGTGGGGTGATCAACACACTGAGCTGCTTCATATCTTGTCATTAATTCAGGCGATAAAACTAGTGCTGTAGCAACATTTTTCAGGGATATAAATGTACTTCAAACGTGTTAACAAATATTTTAGGTCTAAAAGTGCTCTGAATTTCGACTGTGTACATCAGTAGGAGAACCTGGTAAAGACCGATTCCCGGCAAGTCAAACAATGAGTGCTATCTGGTAAGAATTATGTGAAATGCTAGAGTTGAATAAAAATAGGGAAGGCGAACAACCTTGACAATCGCCACTCAAAGTAATCAATTCCGATAACAACGATTCCAGAAGATTAGGATTAGAGGGAGCTCAAATAACGGATGCACTTGCGACATTGCAAACGATTTTGAGCCATGTCGTTCAAGGTCTCTAACCATTGGTGACTTTCGTCTCGCGTACCCCAACCAGGTAGCCTAGATTTACCAACACAGCTCAGTCCGCTTGTCAGTGACTCCATGGATTTCTGCCATGTTTTGGTCTCGCAGCCCCTAGCTTTCGTCCAATCTACTCCTATACCACAAAACATAGCTCGTTGATGAAGTCGGTGGTTAGACAACCGTAACACATGTGCCAACCACCTCAACTGATGAAGTTTCAATAGGTCACCTATTGATTTGCCGTCCCTACCTCGACCGAAGCTGCTACCTTGACGTGGTGGTCGGGCTTGCCTATCGTGATGACCCAACCGAGCTATACTGTCTGGAACATATGTTCCTGCAGGTCCTACCATGCCAGGCTGGTCGATTGGAGAACGATGAGACTAAAAGCAGCTACCCAAGGTCTGAGGGCGAAGTCGTACTGCTGACTGCAGAGGGGTGTGACAGCAGTAAGGTGTTT